AAATGTCCATTCACAATGAGCATGTTTGTTCTCTTAGCCTATTTTTAATATTACTCATTGCTGCGTCATTATTTGTTGCATTATCCATCATAATTGCCAATGTCTATCAAATAATCAAATAAAAAAGCTGTTAAATTATTGAAGATGATAGTGTATTAAATGCTATGGCACAAAACATAAAATCTTTATTAACTAAACAGTAAATTTTATTAAAATTTCTAATAATATAAAATATATAAGTATTTGAAAAAAAATTTTCTGCAACACAGAATTGTTATTGCATAATATACTCAGGTTTTTCTAAAAATTTTTTTTATTAATTTGCATTAAACCCAAATTCTTAATACACTATTGCACCTACTCTAGAAGTAACGTCCTAATCATCAAGGCATTTAAGAAACATACTGCTAATAGCAGTTCCAATGTGTGGGGCAGGAACTAATTTAAATAACAAGATTAGTTTTTGGATGTTCTAGCTATGATCAATAAAATGGCCTAGTAGAAATAAAGCAATTAAATATTAGAAAAATAAACATATACTAAGTAAGAAAAATATCCTGGGCCATTAGGTATTAGTGAAAATGAAGTTTCTGCTTATACATATACAGATTAGAGTATTTTTGCTAAATACCCTGTAATTGATATAGTGATTAGGATATTTAAATAAAATATACTATACAAATAATGGCTACATATTCTAAAGTTTGGTTTAAAGTCCAGAGATCTGTTGTAAAGCTTAAATTTCTGGAAGCTTCTTATACTATCATATGTATCTTTGCTTCAAGATTTACAACATGATTCTTACAATCTTTGCATATAGTCTTTTCATCTATTATTCTAAACTGTGGCTACAAATTATTAACAAATTTCAAGAACCTCTCATGTTCAACTATACGAAATGGATATCTATGCATGATAATCATTTCTGCTAAGTCTTGGTGGCTTCTCTCTTGAGAAAATTTATAAACAATGACACCAGAATAAGAAAATTGTAATTTTTGTTGTGATTTAGTTAAAAAATATTTATTGCACTTTGTAGTTTTTAAATGCTGAAGCAAAGTACTAGTTCCTGTTTTACCACCCTCATATTTAAAGAGGCTTTTACAATATATGCATATAATATAATCCTCTAATAATTTTACTTTGTTATAAAAAAAATAAAATAAAAAAATAAAAAATGATTATCTACATTCTTACTTTGTTTGTTATCCTTTCTAAAATGCCCCTTTTCAAAAACCCATGATGGAGGTTTATTACCTTTATGCTTACTAGTATCAGAGGCCACTTCTAGATTTTCATTTTCGTTTTCACTACTAATTGAATTTGTATTCGTTTCTTCAACCAAATCCATACATGTATCTTTAACTAAATCTATACTTGTTTCTTCAACTGAATCTATATATTATAGCTAAATAGAATAATCTAATTCAGTTACAAATATACTATATATAAATCTGTAGAAAAAAACCTATTAAAGCCTATCCTTTTATATAAATTTTAAAATAATGTAAATTCAAGATATCAGGCGTTCGCATATTATTTCAAGATAAGATTGTTATATATTATAAACTTACTAATAAGTTACATGGGATATATGTTAATTTGAAATGTGTATAAGTATTAATTCAAAACTATCAATGCTATTTCACATGCATCTTTCTCAATTTAATAAAAATCAAATAGTGAATATTATCAGCCCAAAAAGCAGAAAACAAAAAATTTACACTACGAAGCCAAAGAGTCATTTTTAGATATATACAATATATACTGTATATATATGCAAGAATAATTTATTTGATTGAAGATGAGAAAATATAGCGATTGATATGCACATGTAAAAAAAAATTATTGATTGAAGATGAGAAAGTTAAACCGATTAATACATACATGCAAGAAAAATTTGATGGAAGTAAGAAACTCCAGATAATTGATACATATGTATATATAAGAATTTGTTTAAGACGATTGATATGCACATGTAAAAAAGAATTATTTGATTAAAGATAAAAAGTTCAGACAATTAATCATGCTTGTAGGAAGATTTATTTAATCAGATGTGAAAAAAACTAGACAATTAATATATACATACAATAAGAATTTATTAGATAAAGACAAGAAAATCTAGATGATTGATATGTATATACAATAAAGAATTATTTGAAGGTGAGAAAGTTTAACAATTGATACTCACATACAAGAAAGATATATTTAATTAAAGGTAAGAAATTCAGATGATTGATACATATGCAAGGATTTATTTGATTAAATATGAGAAAATCCAGACACGATACACAATACAAAAAAGAATATTTATTGAAGGTAAGAAAATTCAAATGATTGATATACACATATAGCATATGCTCCGATTTTTGGAATATATTTGAAGATCACTGACGCACCTCAAAATTTATAGTTACACAACAAGGTGCGTCAATTAGCTGACATCTAATCATATGCGTAATTTCTACAGGTGAGTTAGCTAGTTGACAGATCATATAACCGTGACATTATACTTTGGTTTGCAGGTTGTTAGCTAAAATCTCTTAAAACTTCTCCCAAATATTTTTCTCCCAAATACTTTTTATCACTATACTAGATATGTTTATACAGACTTATATAAACAGTTATATGCACTGACTTTCCCTAACAACTTTTTTCTATACTAAACTTTAGTAATTTTTATCATATAATACTTTTTGGTTTATTCATAATTTGCTGATATAATTTTAATACTATTAACAGGATAGTTATCTATATAGTTGCATCATTTTCTATAATTTTTGATATATATATATATATATAAAAAATCGCTTGCAGAGTCAAATAAATCTAAAAATTGAACCAAATAATACACATGCATTAAAATACTGTGGAGTAATTTATTATATAAAGAATAACCATTAGCATATTTAAATAAATTCTTAGAAGTTGAACCAAATAATGTACTCATCGCATTATTGAGTGCTGGATTGCCAGGTGACCAACTCTAGAACAGAAGGTGAGGTTTAGAAAGATTAGTCACATCATATAATCCTAATAATTTTAAATCGGATTCTAAATTTCACTATAGGGATTATGTTTTATGGCAGTTTGCAAAAAGGTGTGGCCCCATGATTTCATGGTGACGATAGCAGGAAATTTTTGAGATTCTAAATAGTCTATCCATCATATATTCAATTAGTAGTATCACATATTTGTTAGAGATCTGTAAAATTCTCTTAGAATCAAAAAATCGATTGATTTTACATGAAATCATGATCCGTAGAGGTTAACTCTTTTTGCAATAAAATCTTTAAATTTCATTTAAATGTTATGCACCAAAATCAAATTTTCATTAACAAGGTTATTACTATATAGCACTACATATAGTACCCCCTTGAATAGTATATCTCTTTTTTTGATAAGCAATTTGTGACCCAATTTTCATTGATCAGTAACAATTATTTGGATTATTCTCCCATCTTCCAATACTTGGGGGTATTATTTAATCTTTTTTGTAAAATACCCGGGGTACTATATGCGATAATGGGTTTTGACTGGATTATATAATTATAAACTGATTAAATAAAGTTAAATAATCTGATAATACTTATAACTTTAATGATTTTAAATCACAATAGAATTTTGAATTAATTTCTTTCATCAAAGAATAACTGAATCTCAAAAAGATCTTTAATCAAACTTGAATATAGTCATATGACAGAAATAATATGGGTGTATTATTTATGTAAGCTGAATAATTGGTTTTTATCATTTCGCTTTGTATAATATTCAATTTCAATCATTCTATTAATAAACGATTATAAAAAAATCACAAGAACAAACAAAAGTGATTATGATACGAAATAATAATTATTACCCATTTTCCCTTGGTTTATAGTTTTAATTTCAAAGTAAAATATTCTGCACTCTGAAGGGATTAGATGGTTTGTTTGAATGATAGCAGCTTTATAGTAATCAGAATCTTTAATTAAAAGGTTTTTAATTAATTAAAAAGCTATATTATAATATTTTTTAAATGCCAATGATTAACATTCATTATGTGAGATTCCTCACTTTTATCTTATCTATATAATTTACTTTAAGTCCACTTGAGTCTATATCACTTATACTGGCATAAATATTGACGCTAAATAGACTAACCAATATGCTGCCATAATATTTTTGAAAGAATTGAAATTAGATAGTCTGATTATAAAAGAAATAGTCTTTAGTTCAGATACCTGGATCATATATTCTATGATATAGAATTTCCCAATAGAAGAGATAGTCTACTTGTACAGATTAATATTCTTTATATCCTTTAGATTTTCTTCCTTTTTTTTTTTCTTTAAAATGCTATATTTGGTATGCCTTGATATGGTGTAAGAAATAAGTAGAGCTGTTCTTTTGCTTTAATTGTGAAAAAAGTAGGGTTTGTATTCGGTTCTTTTATAAGTCTGTAAAGTAAATAAAAATTCTTCCACAAACAATTAGTCAATATAGCCCGTTCAAAATTAAAATCACGCAATACTTTTTTTTTTGTCGCCTCAATTTTGCGTATACAAAGTGAAGTGGTACGTACATATCTAATGCCTTTATTCTAAATATAAATCACACATAAATCAGGTAAGCATACTGGTATTTAAAGTTATTATTATCTTGCTAAAAATGAAAGGTTGGATGATTGTCCACATAATCAATTTTGATTGGTTAATTAAAAAAATCAAGTGCAAATTTTAGAATAATTCTCTTCAAGAGATTGTTTATATACTATTATTCTTTTAGTATTATGAACAGTTTTAAGTCGATTTTAAGAGAATTATCAGAATTAAGGAGAGGTGCGATTAAATTTTTAAGAGTATATGAAAAATTCATCTATTATCTTTTATGGTGCATACATTATTCATGCAGGTTAATAACCAGTTGAATTAAAAAAATCGTGTAACTTGTATTACTTTAATAAATATAATCAGACGTCATGTTGTTTTTCTGCAAATCTTATCTTTCTAGATACAATAATGTCTTTTAAACAAAGCAAATACCCTGAAAATAATATCTTCTCGCTTAAACAAAATAATACCAATTATAAGTATTATGTTATTAATGAAGGATTTTATCCACCTAAAGATAAAATATGTTATACTACAGCAAGTTCTTGTAATGGATCTAAATATAGAGTTCTGAATAATTATCTAGTTCAGACCAGTTGGGGAAGAAGCAAGTCACGCCATATAGTAAAATGTGAAATAGAGTATGAACAGGATGATCTAATTTTTATAATAAGATTTGAAGAAAATTCTCAACAATATATATTGAAATCAAAGAAATTTTCAACCACTATTGCTAATAACTATCTTCAAGTCAGTACAAAATTTTAATAAAATTTTGTATAGTCTTTTTTTTTTTTTTTACTTTGTGCAAATAACTAGATAAAGTTAATAAAATTAAAATGAAATTATGTAAGTTATTAATAAAAATTAAAAAAAAAAATTAGATGTTTTATATAGAAAAAATGTCCTAATACCCTTGCAACAATTTCTGAGATCTATGTGTTTGGTCTCAATGCCATGGATATAGAATGGGAGCGTGACAGAAAAAAAAACTGACTCTTTCTCTTAAACCATTTAATTCACTGAGTGAATCTATAAAAACCAAAAGATCTCGCACATTTTCTATACATCTAGGCAAGAGTTTTGATAGTGGAGTTTCAAAATTTTTTAATCTACTTGACCAACCAATACTACAAGAAATTAAATTCAACATTTAAGACAAAAATTATGTAATTGACTATAACGATAATAAAGAAAATGGTAATAGATCTCTTGTTCTATTTATGGAAGTTATCGACTGGGGACCAATTTCTCATCATGCTTATCATAAACTAGCTGCAATTCAGCATAATTTACCATGAGCATATAAAATTTCCGATACCAGAAAAAATATTAACCAAAAAATGAGCACCCAAATATCTATCTTTACCTTAAACATTGAAAATATGCCTCTTGAAACTTCTAATATTGATTTAGGTAAGATAAAAGTAGAATCTTCACTACACGAAGATCCCAATTATTTTATTTATATATTTTAATTTATATATTTTAATTTATATATTTTAATTTATATATTTTAATTTATTTATTTTATTTACTTACTTTATTTATCTTTATTTATTTTATTTTTATTTTATTTTATTTTTATTTGTTATTTTATTATCAAACTTTAATTTTACTTATATTTATATATTTATAGATACTGACGACCAAGAAGTCCAAGAAGAGGTTTTAAATATATTGGTAAAGCGTGCTATAGATGTATTACTGATATTTTTGTATTTATAATTCCAAGTCTTGTAGACCAAAACATTCTTAATACAAATGACCCTGTTATTAATATTCGAATTTCTGGTAATGGACGTAACGTCGGTAGAACGATTAAGCACGTGATGATAATATTCACGATATTAGATGATATATTGAATATCCACAAAGCAGATTTTCATTACACATTAATTCTATATCCAGGAATAGAAAATTACGAAATTCTAAAAAAAGTAATGGATCCTCTTATAATTGAACTAAATAATTTAACGGCAAATGAGTTAGTAGATTTGAATGGTATAAAATGGAGAGTAAAACTTTGCTTCAGTAGCGACTGGAAATTCTTGGCCATCATATTAGGATTCAATACCCCAAATTCGATCAATTTCTGCCCTTGGTACCTCTGCACCAAAAAAGATATTAGAAATAAAGATAATGCATACATCAGCAAATTATATAAACATAATCTTATGTAAGATATTACAGCCCGTAATATCGCACAAGAATTACAGTCTGGACATAATATTGCCAATTTATTATGTAATATTATGCAATTTATTAAGGAGTATTACGCAATTTATTACGGAGTATTACATAATTTATTATGGAGTAATATGCGATTTATTTCGAAATATGTTTGAAATATTTCGAAATATCGAAAGAATTTTATTACTGGCGATGGTATCACGTAATGAGTAAATTACTTATAGCATCAAGAAAATTTATTAATGTACTATACGTATGTATTATTTTATTAATTTGGTA